TAAAAGACACAGAAGACAAAGATAAGTTTACAAACCTTGCTAAGACATAATCTGCTACCCAAATTGGAATTATCTCCCCGGTTGCTGGGTTCTTAGCATAAGAACCACTGAAAACTCCAGTTTTTTCCTTCTGGAGTTCAGTTCTCTCAAGTTCGCTCTTTCTTGCTGCAACTTCTGTGTATTCCTCTACCTGCTTTTCCAATTAGTCCATATTGACGTTGAATGATGCTAAAGTTCTCAAGACAACAAAAAAGAACATACATATGCACGTTGTTCCTCAGATGTTAGAGACGGCAGCAAAACATGCTCAGGTGCTACAACAAGATATCTGCAGCAGAAAACAAAAGCCAGTTCAATATTGTCCATCTGGTTCTAGAAACTGTACTAGCTGATAAAGATTAAAAAATAAGGCAGAATACTCACGTTGCACCAAAAATGGTGTCAGGCCTTGTTGTATAAACTGTCAATTTGGCGCCTAAATCATGTCCTTCCTGGTCAACTGCACAAAATTCAAGCTCAGCACCTTCCGATCTCCCTATCCAATTTCTTTGCATTTCTTTTATGCTCTCAGGCCAATCGAGATCATCCAAATCTTCAAGAAGTCGATCAGCATAAGATGTTATCCTCAGCATCCACTGGCGCATTGGCTACACAGCAAAAGATAAAGTGGATAATATGCCTTTTAGCAGATAGGTACTGAGCAACAGGTTCATTGACCTGGCAGAACATAGATAAAAAAGGATAAGCAAAACCCGCAACAGAAAGAGTTACACAGTTTCTACAGCTTACCTTTCTTATAACAGGATAACCACCACGTTCACTGACACCATCAATTACTTCTTCATTCGCCAAAACAGTCCCAAGAGCAGGGCACCAATTGACCGGTACCTCAGCCTGATTGTAAGATAGCAATGCCAGCCTAAAAATCATTGAAAACCACAGATACAACACTAAGCACATAAAAACAGAACCCTAAAAATGAATCATGCAAAGCAGATGATCAGTTGAAACAAAGTAAATACAGAGCATGTCAAGTCAAATGATAGGCTTTGGAACTCGAACGATGCAGTAAGAAAGGACACTAGTAGCTCTGACCTGGTAAGCCAATCCTCTTTTCAGTAGTTGAAGAAAAATCCATTGCGTCCATTTATAGTAGGCTGGTTCTGTTGTGGAGATTTCACGATCCCAGTCATATGAAAAACCTAATGATTTAAGCTGCAACACAAGAAAGCATCCTCCTAATGAACCAGTAGTAATCAAAGTACTACACAGAACATTTTCACTTTCGTTTCCACAGAAACAACCACGTTCTTATACCAACATTCTATCCATGGTTCGTGAAATAGAGGAGTACATTCATTGTAAACTGGACTTATATAAAGCAGGCGTTGCTTCAATGGTACATGAAAAAGTTTCAGGCTATGAGTCATGGAACATGTATGGCAGGGGTACAACTAATACCCATGGTTTCGCACTGATCAGTCAAAACAAGCACCCTACAAAGCATCTAGGGGAAGTCTCATCTATGATAACTTGTGCCAGTCATAAGTTATAACAGTTGCATCCATGGTTAGACCATTACCAAGATTTTGTTTGGCTAAAACATATTGCCATATTGGCAATGTAGCTCAATTACCGAAGCTTACTTAGTAGCAGAACTATTTTTCTGTTTTGTGTATACTGGGAATGCAAGTGCAAAGCACATCTAATTGGCAGCCCGAAAATGAAGCGTGAGAGCACACTTGACTTGCTACTGTAAATTTGTAATATCTACTAGACCTTAGAAGCAAAAGATGCAACATAGCATGAAGCCATGAAGTATATATATAAATTAAAGGCATTACCTGTGTGCGGAAGCGGTCAATGTTGCGTGCAGTTGTAGTCTTGGGGTGGGTTCCCGTCTGCACACAAAGTTATGACAATTTACATCGTTCAGAACATAGCAGGACACCAAAGTTACCAAAAAAATAACAATCCCGATGTAAAGAGACCCTAGACGAGATTGATTTTAAATGACCTGGATAGCATACTGCTCGGCAGGAAGACCAAACGCGTCCCATCCCATCGGATGCAGGACATTGAAGCCTTTCATACGCTTGAATCTCGACAGAATGTCGGTCGCCGTGTATCCAAGGGGGTGCCCAACATGCAACCCAGCCCCACTGCATGGCAATTTGCGAAATCATGTGAGGTACGAACAACATGTATCTACTTTCAGGGTAGGACTAGGATTCAATTCAGGACGACTATATGCATCCGGGAAGAATAAATTTCAGCATTGACGCCTTCCTGCATAATATTTGGCACAACAGAGGAGGATACTTTCCATATTAGTATTATTCTAGAGAAAACTAAACTAGAGCCTCGTATCCTACTGCATGCAATTGCAAGGCCAGTACGGTACAGCACTACAGAAATTCATGATAAACTGTTAACAATTCGGGCACTGGTGGAGAAACTGAAACTGCAGGACCATCCATTATTCTTACATTACACAACTCAAGCACAAATCCGTGGCGCGGTAGCCCACATATCCATAGCAGAGTCGAACAATTCGATGAAGAATTCCATAGGGAGAGCCGGAGAGGAGAGGGGCTGGTACCTGGGGTAGGGGAACATGTCGAGGATGTAGCACTTGGGCCTGGAGGTGTCGAGGCCGTCGCCGATGTCCGGGGTGCGGAACGTGCGGCGCTCCTCCCAGTGCGCCTGCCACCTCGGCTCGATCTCGTCGTACGGGTACGCCCGCCTCGCCTGCGCCTTACCCGCGTCGGCGCCGGCGCAGCAGCGGCAGGAGCGGGCTCGGCGCGGCGGGAGGAGCGCGCGGCGCCGGTGGGCGGCGGCGACGGCGGGAGGGCGCGCGTGGAGCTGGAGCGGCGGGTGCGTCGTGAGAGCCATCGGGGTGGGGTGGGGTGGGAGCGGGAGCCGGGTGTGGAGAAAGATGAAGTGGAGGGAGCGAGAGGTCGCTGCGGGAAGAAGACGACCAGCTTTGGGGGATAAGGTTTTGGAATTTGCTATACCGATTTTTAATTATTATTTTTAGACTAGAATTTGCTGCTGGTAGCACTCAAATAATCCCACAAATAAATACGAAAATGACAATAGAACTCCCCATGGATGTGAACATATTGATTCTGTAGTGTATATGTTGTTATATTCTTTTTGTAATCTTGGTCCAAAATTACAAAATTGACTTAGAACAAATGGCACAAGACTCTGAGATGGAGGGTTGTGACGAGCAAATGGCATGCTCTCACAACGGTGATGGCGGACCACGAACATTTGAGGCGACGAACGGTGACAGCTTTTTCATCACTGGTAGTCGAGGCATTAAGGAGTCGAAGGAAAACCGCTAGCAAGTTTTGGTTGTATTGTTTTGCCAAGGCTTGCTTTTCCAGCACCGTGAGCTAATGGAACTCATGGAACAGCAATGAAACCGGAATTAAGTTTTAAGGCATGTTTGCTTGGCATTCTAAGGGTTCTAATGCTTTGTTTGTACGTCCGTATTGGAAAGCTCCGCATTGAGTTGGATTAGAATTTCAATTCGGTGAAAAAACTGAAAAAGCACAAATACGAATTCGCTTGCTTGCTTGCTTGTTCACTGAATTGACCATCGAAATGGCCACGAGGTTTCAACACCAAATCTTGTTTGGATGACAACTTTGGAATTGCATAGCCACGTTACCATGAAGATTATACCTTGTGTTTCACATGACTGAAAAAGGTAATCTGCTCACATGTGACTATAATTAAATGAATATACAGCAGTAAAGATAACAAATATTCTAGAAATGAATCACAACAACACAAAATGGTTACACAACAATATTTGCAAACAATATTTCATCCTCAAATATTCATAGGTACAACAAATATATATATGATAGTCTCACTCAACACATGTATCTATGATACTCCCTTCAGTGTCAAAAAACGTCTTATCTTTTGATAAGAAGAGAGAGTGGTTCATAGGTATTTCAAACAATTCAATTCTGGTGCCGGGGATGATATTCCAAACGTGGGAGGAAGATTTACTGCTGTTTGTTGGCTGGTTCGTGCGGCCAACGGTGACCCATGCACGCACGCCAAGAGAGAGCAAGCTAAAAGTGCCGTCATGGCATCTATAATCAACAGTAAGTATTCATATTAGTAACCGGATCGATGCATGATGGTAATTAAGCAGGTGCTAGTTTGTGTGCAGTAATCTTCTTCATGCTGGCTCTGGCTCCGGCTCTCGGTACGACTAGTCCGCGCGCACTCCCGCAAACTTAGTTAAAGTACGTAGGGCTACACGTGGTGTTTGAAATGGTCAAAGGCTAGTCGTTGTTGCTTCATTCTAGTGACGACAACAACTTTTCAGGCACATACTCATGGGTTTCGACCGGCGGCGGACTCCTCCAGCGACGGCGAGGGAGAGGGCTAGCGGCGGAGAACCCGGTCGAGGACGTAACCGGCAGATGGTTAGTGCCGTAGGTGTTGCTAGCTCCAACAAAAGCTAGCTTGATGAAAAAGAAAAGAGACTTGCTCATTCCTAGTTGCATGCTTGTGAAAATTGGAATCTCCCATCCCATCCATACGTGCAAGCTATCTGCCGCCGCCGCCATGCACGCATCCCGAATCTCCCGTGCTCCTCTCATCGAGTCGTTGTGATCTCGAGGTAGCCTTCGTTTTCTTCCTCAGAAGGAGAGGAGCTCGATCGAGTCGCTTTGCTTGCACCATTGGAAGACTCGCCTCCTTGCTTTGCTCCTCCCGTCGAGTCTTCTCCATCCAAACGAAACCCTACGCCGCCGTCCAAACCAAGCAACAAATATTCTCCTCCGGCCGCCCCCCTCGTCCATGGACCATTTGCCAAATCCTATATACACGAATCACTGTCACAACCCACAAATTAATAAGGAAGCTCACGACGCAAGAGATCGTTCGTTCCTTCGCCAAGAAACCAACCACGGTCCACCAAAGCCAGCCAAGAAGAAGAAACCACCACACACGTACGTAGCTAGCTAATGGCGACGGAGGCCGCAAAGGAGGAGATGGTGTTCTTCGACGTGGAGACGGCGGCGGCGCCGTCCCCCTCCGACTCGTCCGGCCAGTGGTGGCTGCTGGAGTTCGGGGCCATCCTCGTCTGCCCGCGCCGCCTCGTCGAGCTCGCCAGCTACTCCACCCTCATCCGCCCGGGGGACCCCTCCGCCGTCTCCAGGCGCTTCTCGGGCGACCCATCCCTCTCCGCCGCGTTCCGCGCCGCGCCGCCCTTCGCCGACGTGGCCGACGACATCTTCGCGCTCCTCGACGGCCGCGTCTGGGCGGGCCACAACATCCGCCGCTTCGACTGCCACCGCGTCCGCGAGGCCTTCGCGGCGGCCGGCCGCGCAGCGCCGGAGCCCGTGGCCGTCGTCGACTCCCTCAACGTGCTCGCCCAGGGGTTCGGCCGCCGCGCCGGGGACCTCAAGATGGCCACCCTGGCCGCCTACTTCGGGATCGGGAAGCAGACGCACCGCAGCCTCGACGACGTGCGCATGAACCTCGAGGTGCTCAAGCACTGCGCCGCCGTGCTCATGCTCGAGTCCAACCTCCCCGCCGGCGTGCTCCCCGGCGCCGACGACGGCGCCGTCACCAGGCGCAGGGCCGCGACGTCTTCTACCACGACGGCGCCCGCGACTCCTCCTCGTCCTCCTCCTGCCGCCGCGGTTCTGAAGGTGAACGGGAGGTCGTCGTGCAAGAGGGACAGCACGGGGAAGGTGGTGGCGGCAGCGAGGGGAGCGGCGACGGCCACGACTAGCGGTGGTGCTCGGAGAGTGCGAAGGCCGATGACGACGCCGCCGTTCAGCATGGTCCTTAGGCACTCCAGGGCCATCGTGAGATGATCCGTCGACTAATTGCTTCCATACAAATTTGCATTCATTAATTTGTAGATGGAAATGGAAATGTACAAATAACCATTCTAGCTAGCTAGCTAGGTAGCCGTGTTCATATTTACGCAAGGTCTAATTAGATATATGTACGTTGTTAACCACCTTCTCGTTGTTGTAAAAACGCAACGCACATTTCATTCATTTGTGTAATTGTATAAATGGCCCATAAGTCTCAGCTGGAGCATTGTAACCCATAGTTGTACCCACCTCTATTGTAAATCTGTACAAAATATAAGAAAATGCATTCATTTATTGTAAAGCTGTACAAAAAATAAGAAAGATAAGAAAATGTAAACATGGCAATTAGTATAGTCTAATTACACCAAGTAAAGAGGGGCAAATGACCAAATCTTCCGACTTTGTTTACGCTAACCCATTAGCGAAACGACAATCAACTGACATTAGTTAATGGGTCATTCGATTTTGACATGGCCGGAGAAATTCGCCGAAGGAAGTCCAGAGGGGAAGAAGGAGAAGGAAGGAGCTCGTTGGCAGGCTGTCCCACCATATATCTTAGAGAAGAGGGTGGGGGTGGA